GCCATTCCTCTAGGGCGGTTCTGCCCAAGGGGTTGTTTGGCAGTGTCTGGAGACACTGTAAATTGTCCTGCCTAGCAGGACATTCAGTGGATGGAGAGCAGGAATAGTACTGAATATCCTATACTGTGCAAGACAGAGCCATAATCTGGAATTAGCAAACTAAAAGTGTTAATATTTAAGCAACCTTGAGCTAATGAGCGTTGGTCTGCTTTGTTTAAAAGTTTAAGTCCTGACACATTGTTCTCTCAGAGTTGCAATTGGAGATAGATTTCATTCTTCCCTTGCAGTCAACAGGTGAAAAGTAGTAAATCTAAACACAATGTATCTGTACAGCTAAAATGTGAGGGAGCCTCGCTGTGGTGTAATCCATGTATGGGGTTCTTCACCTCTGATGATGCAGGCGTTAAAATACAGCACTGGAGAACTTGGGGAATCATTGCACTTCTGTGTTCCATTATTTTGAAAATATTCTGTTGCTTTGAAAAATATGCTAATTCGTTTCATTTGTAGGACTCCTCAGTTCATTGAAAGAGTGCTGTGTTCCTCTGTTTCCTTTTTGTGTAAGGGTCTTGTTTTCCTGTTGCTTGTATGCTGAGTAATGTTCTGGCTGCTCTTGTAAGATTATGGTACACAGTGGATTAGCTATTGTTATCCTTAATTACTTTGTTATGGAATTTTATTTCAGTTTTCTTTTTCAAAAAATATAGCACTGTTTTTTTTTTTTTTAAATTTTCTGATTCATCCTATTCATACCACATGCAGATGAAAAGCTGGTTTTTTCGGGAAGCATCTTGATGTCTGGCAGAGAGGCAACTCCAGCCCATGAACCTCACGGTACCTTTTAATGCGGAAGTAGCTGAGGGGCCTTGGTCAACTACTTTTAAAGTAATGGACTTGTAAAGTCTCGTAATAAAAGACATTGGTTTTCTTTTTTCTTGGAAGATTTACATTAGTGATTGCTTCTAGATAAAATGGTTTCATTATTACTGAAGTTCATAGGATTCTGAGTTCAGCCTGATGATTTCAGAGCTGGTCACCTGTGTTAGCTTTCGAATGCCTTGTTTTCCTTTTGTGTAATTCTAAAGCTCTTCGGGGAGACAGAACAAAAATACCACAAATTAGACCTTACGAGGGACAGGCAGAGGGAAAATTCTAATGTGGCTGTTAGTTGCTGACCCCCAGCATCCACAGAAGTGCCTATTAGCTGACTAGAGGATGATGCTGCTGTCTGAATTTTTTTGCCTGCTTTATAAATAGGCTGTTCCTTGGTCGGGCAAGAAAAGCCGAGAAACGCAGAGCCTCGCCAGTGGGGAGCTTCCTTGCCGTTATTGTCGTCTGTTTTGTGTAAATTATTTCCTGTGCTGCTGCCCTTCCTTTTGACTTTGTGTTTCTTATCGCCTCTCTTCCGGTTCTGCTACTGGGATAAACAGAGTCAGCACTCTGTAAAGTTTTGAACTTCCCTGCGTGGATAGCATTAAAGCATAACCCACCTCATGTGCACTAAGAAAGACTCCTGAAAAATTAACAGTAATTCTTTGGACAGATTGGAGAGTTCTGAGTTTTGGCTACAAAATGAGCTGTGTGTCTCTTTGTTACTTGTGTGTGCTTTGCATCCTTGGATTCTTCCAGCATGGGCAGGGAGACCAGGACTCTGAGTAGACTGTTTTGTAGCTGTGCAAAGCAGCAAAGCACAGGTCACCAGGATGGTGCTGGCTGTGGGGTCCCTTCAGAGCTGTACCTCTAGGCTGGGCTGTGGGTGGACTGAGGGACCCAGACCCCACCCAGGGTTTGATGACTGTTTCAGCCCCTCCTCGTGCCATGAAACATTTGCCTTTTGGTAGGAACTTCTGGACTTTTCTAAAATGGGAACTGGATTGAAACTGTCGTTCTGAACTCATTGATAGCTGTGGTCTCACTGTGCACTTCCCAGGTTGATTCACAGAGGACCAGATTCATCCTCTAGTCAGCTAATAGGCACTTCTGTGGATGCTGCTATGGATCCTTGCTAAAGTTGCAAATTCCTCCCAGACCACCTGTGTCCTTTGTGCTGTGGGCTTGTGGCTGGTGTTCTCTGAAAGCATTCGTCATACTGCCTTTCCCTCCCTCAGAGCTGGAATGGTGCAGCTTCTTGGTTATTAAGATTTTTGGATTTTGGTGGAGCATTTTGCCTTCGAAGCCACACAGGGTAAAGGAACTCCGCTAGGCAGTTGTGGCTTTTGTCCGCCTGTGCAGTGAGGGCTGGAGGAGGGAAGCTGGAGACAGAGGTGAGGCCATCTCGCTGCTCCTGATCCTGGGTGAGCACTGGTCACCCTAGAGTGTGTGCATAAATCATGGTCGGTTCCCTCTGGAAGGGACATAGGCTGTGGGATGCACCCACTCCAGGCCAGGCGCCCTGGAGCCTGGAGCTGACCCTGAGTGGGGACAGTACCACTGGATCTCTGCCACAACTTCTTGTCACTGCTCCCGCTGTGGTTCCATGACCGATAGCCCTGGCAGCTGAGGCTGGCTGGTCTGAACTTATAAGATAATGTGAATTTGATTTACGCATTACTTGTTTGCTTTGAACCTTTAACTCTTAAATATTAGTGAAGGTTTGCAAAATGCTGCTGTTGGTAGAGTGGTGGCACCAGGTCGTGCATTAGTTTTTACTTCTTGTTTCTTCAATAGTAGGATAAATACACGTAGGCCATCACCTTTCAATCTATGAGAGATTTGTTTAATTACTGCTTCTCTTGGACTAGTGAAGAATGTTGCAAATCAGTGCTGTTGAAGCATTTTGCAAGTTTTGTTTTGGATCCTACTGAGGGTCTCATTTGGTATGTGTGTCCCTTGAGACTATTTCTTAATTCATGATAGGGGATTCTTGTTATTTAGTTATTTTTTTGCTGGGGATTAAGTTGAGGGTTGGACATGTGCTTTTTCTTTAGTGTAATGTTTCAAACGGTGCCTTCCACTCAGTGTCCTGTCCAGATCATAGGGCCTTTTGGGCAGCAAGGCATTGGGAACCTTTTTCCAGAGCTGGGTAGGTGTGAGCTCTGATCAGTGTCTGAAAGTAAATTAATGCTAGTTTTCAAAGCAAGTAGAAGTGTAATCATTGATTTCTGCTCTGGTTCACAGTGAACTGGTCTGTGTTTGCGTTAGCTTTTGACAGTATGGATTTGTGTAAAGTGGATTTTGTGAGATGGTATAATTAGTGATAGACTATAATTGATGTTAGTGTTTCTGTTGAACTTAAATTTGAAAATAACACAAGTCGAGTCCTAGGTACAACTTTGATGTGATTTTGCCTGCCTAGTCCCTGTACTTTGGGGCAGAGGAAGCAGAATGGCTGTCAGGGGAACAGTTCTCCCTCCTTCCGGGGAGCAGAGCTTCCGGTGGGAGTGGTTGGCATCTCTGAGCACAGAGAGGGTCACGGCTAAGTAGGCAGCCTACTTCTGTTTGGCCCACGGCCATGGCACTGTGGGGTGGGAGGGTGTAGTGGTGGTGGTGGGGGCGGGAAGCTCTGCTGCAAGGTCCCCAAACTACAGGCACAGAGGGAAGCCTCACATCATGCTGTTCGCCAGGTGGCAGCTCTTCGAGGCAGTTCCCTGTTGCAGAAGACCTAACACAGACTGCCAGGAGGCTGCTTTGAATGTTGTTTCCTGAGTCCGTGTCTTTGACTTCCAGGCTGGTCTGTGATTTCCATTTTACCCTGCAGTTGCTGGTGTTTTAAAAAGAAAAGTCTTGCCCTTGCCCATTTCCTGTGTTGGCCAAGTTGAGGTCCTGGTGGTTTTTGGCAGCTTTGGACAGAAGTCACTCATCAGAGCAGGGTGCGGGGGGGCATAGGTGCCTCTTCTCCCTTGGGAGCGTATGAGCAGGCGCCTGGTGCCCCTGGATGGGGTGGAAAGAGCTTGGCTCATTTCTTTGCCTCTGCCTGACTCTGATATTCTTTTCTCTGCTCTGTACCCCTGTTTCGGCCACCACAAAGCTCAGCTAGCAGGACCCTCAGGGGCCCTGCCTATCCATCACCAAGGCCTATCCTCAGTCCTTTGCTCTGCTTTGAGATCCCGGGGGGCTTTGCTGACTTCACACCATTTCCTCTTATCAAGGGATGCTTGCATCCGCTTTCAGGGTTTCCGGGTGGTGTGATAACGGACAGCAGGCTTCTCCCCCTTTCCCCAAGTGTGCACTGCCGGTGTGTGTGTGTGTGTGTGTGTGTGTGTGTGTGCAGGGCTCCCCCCAGCCCTCAGGGACCCAAGCGCACCCTCTCCTAGGGACCAGTGCTGCATTCTGGGTGTTGGCTGAAGTCTTACACATTGAACCAGCTCAATGTGCCTCTCCCTTCTCTCAAGTTAGACATGTGCAGAGCACCTTCATATATGAGTGACAGAGTGGTGACTGAGAAAGTCGGTTTCCCACCCTGAGGGAGAGCACGGTGGCAGCCAAGGCCGATGGCTCAGATCCAGCTCCGGGCCTGTTCCTGGGAGCTGTTTTATGAGAACACAGCGGGCTGGTTCTCCCACACAGCAGCTGGAGCTGCCCCCGTGCATAGTGGCGGAGCCACACTGGGCGGCCTTGTGCCCAGAGGACCGAGACATTGTGTTTCTTGGTGCTTTTGGGAGCATGGGTTGGCCTGGCGTGCATGGAAGAGGGAGTTGGCAGTACTGGTTTCTCTGCAACCCTGCTGGATCCCTGTTGGCACAAGGTTGCTGATATCTCTGCCCTTTCAGGGGAACAGGAGGAGGGGGACACCCTTATCTACAGAGTCGTTAGGATGACATTGTGCAAGATACTGGGTGATTCCTTGTCCCGAACAAGCACTTAATAAATGCAAATTCCTTCCTTTCTTTCTGACTCCTATCCCAGATTTCCTGGTCTCTGAGTGTGAAGTTCTGAGATAAAGGAGTGGTTTTGGTGCAGTCCCGTCCTCATCCAACAGTGGGACCCAGTGTCACAGTAGCACAATCTTCATGTTAAAGATAATTAACCTTTCCCTCTCCCCTTCTCTCTCTCTCCCTCAGCCTCCGGGGTCCTATGTGCCTTCCTCTCTCGTAGGACATCCTCCAGGCTTGGTGGCCGCCGTGGGACAGTTTCTAATCACTCACTCCAGGTAAGTGTCCTAGCCCCCTTGTCCGCCCTGTGCGGCCCTCACAAGGGTTGGCGCCCAGTCCTCCATGACTGCCCCCAAGTCCTGGCACCCCATGCATTTCTGACTGACCAGCTGTCCACTGGGGTCCCTTGGCTTCTGCTTTCTGCTTATGGTTTGTTATGACAGCTGTGTGGTTGCCTGTTGTGGCCGAGGACACAGTTCCAGTCAGGCAGGAGGGTCTAGGGGCGTCTGGGCCCTCCCCAGGTACCCCTTCCTCCAGTCGTCACCCACTGTGCTCCAGCCCAGAGACGCCCAGTGCCTCTTGTTCCAGTCTTCCTCTCCCCTGCATTTCTTGCCTTTCAGTGATGGTGGTGTGGTGGGGCTGAAGGCCTGACCACCTGGTCACCTGCGGGGCCTCTTGCAGCCTTAGAGACTTGTCCTCTTGTGAGCAGCAGCAGTCGTGTCACTCGGGGTCCCCAGGGTTGTAGTCACTTAGCGCCAGCAACCAGGGCTAGAGTCCCCAGCTGCTCTGGGCAATGAAGCTGCCAGCCCCCGGCCCCGCCCTGGCTGCTGTGTGCTATTCAGAGCGGGGAGCAGCTGGGCGCCTTCTCATTTTACCTCCTGCTCGGCCCTTGCCTGAGTAATCGTGACTCTGCCTGTGCTGGGGAAGCCCGGGTCTCGGTGCCCAGGCAGCAAAGTGGGGAGAATATAGTAACGTTTCTAGGAAAACTGGTGCAAGGGGAGCGCCCCGAGGGTGACTCAGGCGCAGGGCGATGCTGGGCTGTGGAAGATAAGCCTGGCTGTGGTGTGGGGCCAGCCCACCCCGGGGCTGCCTGCTGAACTGTGGGCCCTGGAGGGACACTTAGCTGCGTCCAGGGGCCACCTGTCCAGACCTGGCCAGCGCAGGCTGGGAGAGGGGAATGGAGTGTATGCAGGGAGCACGGTCGGCAGGATTAGCACTGAGAGCAGCCTCTGGCCTCGCTTCCTTCCTCGTAGGGTGCTCAAGTGCGTCTTGGTTTGTTTGCGGTGCTGGTGTTGAGATTCGAGGTTCTGTGTGCTGGGCAGTGCCTACAGCTGAGCGTCAGCCCCTTGGGGTTGTAATGCTCACTTTGTAGGTTTCTCCCTGGTTCTGGACCCAGATATCTGAAACCTGATCTCCTGGGTCGGATCCCAGCTTTGCCGTCCCCTGTGACTCCAGCCGACTGCATCCTCTTGGTGCACCTTCACTGAAAAAGGAGGTGCTTTGTGGATTAAAATGAATTAAAGCACGGCGAGAGTTGGGGTGCAGCTTAGAGTGGGGCTGGCCCAGCCTGTTTGAGGCCCTGACTTCTGTTCCCCGTGCTGCAAACAAACACAACAAAACAACACACCTGGTGTTGCTTCCGTTTAATTTCATGGGGTCGAGCACTGATGAGTGAACAGGAGGAATATTAATATTGCAAGCTCAAAGAGGACCTTCCTGGAGCTGTGTGCATGGGGCACAGGGAGAGCAATCGCCATGGGTCAGAATCTTTCAGAGTTTAATATCTGGATGTGGCTTTGTACATCGTGCTTTAACACTGGCAAGCACGATCGAAATTTCCACTAGGGTATGACATCACTTAGAGGTGTGCTCAGCAGCTCTATCTCATGCAAAGATCTGTTCAGAGGCTAGCGTTGGCACTGGCTTTTGTCTTCCTGAGAGATACGATGTACAGCTCTGATAGGGTAGCATTTTTCAGTAACTAAGAAGGATTGAAACTCAAGGTCAGGTGTCTGCATGTGTGAGTGTGTTTGAACAAATGAGTGTGTAAAATAGCTTATTGAGAAAGGGAAGCATGCAGAATCAGTCATTTTCACAGCATGTGGATTTGCCCTTGAAGACCTCTGAGGTGTGAGAACAGCGTGGTGTGATGCAGATCTGGGTTTGTGTGTAATGTTGTAGCAGGTAGTGGGTCACACCCAGGATGTGGACTTTTGTGACCAGTGATCTGAATTCATGGTCCTTGTTTTCAGCTTGGAAATCTTTTTAACAGATTGAGAAAGCTCATAGTTTTGAAAATGTGTTTTTCCGATGTCCAAAGAAGTAGTTGTGGGTTGTAAACTGTTACACTGAAAGCTTGCTGCTTTCGCTGGCTTGTCTCAGTCAGTACCGTGGTTTCACATCTGTCATTCTGACTGTTTAGTAGACAATGTGAGAATTCCAGAGGCATTCCCATCCTTCCTCACCCTGGTCTGGAGGTAGCCTCTGATGTTTTCTTAGGACTAAAAGACAGCTCTTTTAAAGCTCGAGGTCCTCAGACACAGACAGCCAGGACTTGCTTGGCGCCCAGAACCCAGGAGCGGAAGGGACCTCACCGGCAGCCCAGCCCAAGCGTCCTCATGGTGCAGGCCCTTGTTCCCTCTTAGGCCTGCCTGCTTCGCAGAGGTATTTTCCCTACAGTCCCTCTGCTGGCTTCCTGGCGCTGACTTCCTCCTTCCCGGCTGACCTTCTGCCCCCTCCCTCGTCTTCCCTCCGCATGGAGCAGTGGCATTGTGGCAGGAGCTGGTGGCATCCTGCAGGGCTCTGGGCTGTCCCTTCTTCCTGCCCCACCTGACCTGGGCAGAGCTGGGAGGCTGCAGGCTGGCAGAAAGGGCGAGTCTGGAGGGCCCTAGATGAGTGGTTTTTGCTGGTCTCTCTGGGGGGCTTTTGAGGCCCCTTGTGAGCTCTGGGCTCCTTGGCACTGAGTTTGAGCCCCACACATTTAGACTGTAAACTTTGTTCCTCACACAGCTTGCTCAGTTTCAAAGGAGACTGCATGGCCTTCGAAGTAGCACTAGCAGCTCTTAGTTGGGCCTCAGCAGGGACTGGGCTTAGCCAGCCTCGAGAGAGGAAGACAGAGCCCTCTCTTTCTTCTGGGGAGCAGGCCTGTCCTGGGGCTCGCTTTACCTTCCTGGCTTCCTCTTCCGGAGATGCACTCAGTCCTGTGCCAGGCCCACCCTCCTGGACCGGGTTCCCACTGAGTCAGGGTCATGTCACTGTGGCACACCACGAGGCTGTCACGGTAGGGGACAGGATGGAGAACATGGGGACAGGCTTCTCCTCCGTGTGAACAGTGAGAATAGTGCCACTCGGCTGTGAGCATGCATCCTCCCACCCTGCGCCTGAGCCCCTGTCTCAGGCTCTCATTCTGCACACAGGGCCTCCTGGCCCAGCGCCTCCCCTGCCGTCCCTGGTTCAGTCACCACCCAGGCTTCCCTTGCCCTGGACTTCACCCTGCACCAGTCCTTGGGCCGCCCTCGCTAGGGCCACCCTGGCCTCTGGGCTCCACTGCGCACCCGCACGCAGGTCCCCCCAGCACCAGCCTTAGCATGCTGATGGTCCCTCCTTCTTGTCCTCTCATATCTTGGGCTGTGGCCTCTGAGGTGCTCGTGGAGCCAGCCCCCTGGCCAGGCAGCTCTGGGTTCCGTGGAGTGACCCCCACAGGGGCTGCTGCTGGGCTTCTCTGGATTCCTTTTCCAGCATCCGAGATGCTGGCCCTCCTGTCCACAGAGCAATGGCCTCTGTCAGTGAGGGAGGCACTGCTGCCATTGTGCCTGTGAACACACAGACTCTCACCTCTTGTTGGAATGGAGCAGTGTAGCAGCAACGCAGAGCATTTACCTAGTCGGGCTCAGGGCCCCTGCTGTGGCGGCCTTGTCCATCCTGGAGGGCAGGAAGGAAGGGAGGTGTGCATGCGTGTGCCCACGTGCAGGACTCAGGGAGGGGTCCCAGCCACGCCCCTGTGGATTGGATCTGTGTGTAAAGCTGCCTTGCTCTTAGTGAGAGCTGTTAGTGCAGGTTTTGCTGGGGTGCGTCTGGAATCCGAGTCTGCAAGGCCATGTCAACCGTGGTCCAGGCTGTTTCTGATGCACGCTAGGCCCGACTGGGGAAGAGCAGTGATTTGCCCCCCGGGGCGGAGGCCTTGTGTCCCTGATGGCCCTGGATGAGGGCTGGCCCTGTGCCTGGTACTGGCTGCTGCTTCAAGGAGAATTTGCCTGTTGCTGTGTGGAGTTTTAACATTTGCCGCAAGAGCATGAGCAGAGCATCCCAAGTCCTGGTGTCCCTGTCACTGGCCGAGCCTGTGTCCTCCTGGGCACCATCCACGGCCCCTGCTCTGGTCACTGAAAGCAGAGTCCAGACATGGATGCTGTACAGTTTCCTGATTCTATTTTAAGTTGGAATATGAATCTTACAATTTAGTTTCAAACAAATTTTGCTTGACCTTAATTCCGGGTCCTCTGACTTATTTTTCCATTTGCCCTGGTAGCATTTTGATATGTTCTTTCCTGGCTCCTCTTGAGATTTGAATATTATTATCATTATTCTTATTCTTATTCTTATTACTAGTTGGTGCTGGATTTTGAAGCCAAGGCCTTTGTTCTGAGCTCATCCCCAACTACCCCCAATCCCCTTTAAAATGTTTCATTTTGAGACAGGGTCTGCTATGTTCTTAAGTTGCCCAAGTTGGACTCGAACTTGTGATCTTCCTGCCTCAGCCTCCCTGAGCACAGGAGTCATTGTTTCTGATCTGATGGCCTAACTTTAGTAGCTTCTTCTGTGGAGATGCACCATCTTTTCCATGCTGCTTTGCAGGGAAACAGAATCCTCTGATTATGATGGTTTGAGGGTGAGCTCCCCCTCCTTTTGTCCCCTCCTCACCCCTGCTCAGCTTTCCAGGCAACACCCAGTCTCATGGGTCCTTCGGATGTGAATTTCTGTTCCTGTGTGTCCTCGCGGGAGAGCAGAGGGCAGGACCAACCATGCTCAGGGCCCCGTTTTGCTGCCTGAAGCCCAGGCGATGTACGTCGTGATTTCTGGGATCTCTGGAAGCACTTAAGGACCTGTGCCCGGGGCTCTGGTTTGGGACGCTTGCATGTGGCAGGGCGCACTGCCCCACTGGGGACAGCAGAGCTAGACCTGGTCTGCTCTGCCGCTCCGCCCACTCTGCTCCTGGCTGCCAGTGTCTGTGGTGTCCTGATGGAGGATGCCCGGCTTCCCCGCCTCACAGCTGCACACTGAG